ATTTTTTTTTTAATTATCTATTTGTGTTTAAGTATTACTTTGTTCTGATTTTTCTTTATTGCCAGGCTTTATTGTATGTAGCCTAATGAGTTTGGGTTTTGTTAATTGGGGAAATGATCCTGCACAATATTAATTTGTGCCGAATGGGACTGTTTTCTGCACACTTGTTATTCTTTGTAGAAAATTCCAATATTAAAAATTTATAATAAAAAACATGATGAGCAAGAAAACATAAACACAAAACAGATTTATGTCTCATAGCACCGTAAAGTTAATCTCTGCGGTCAGAAATAACCAAAGTGATGCTCAGACTTGAATTTCTGCATTCATCTTCATCTTTAATAATCACACGCTTACCTTTGTGTTGAGCAGCGATCACGTCTTTACTCAGGGAGATTTTACCAATCACATCATCATGACTGCGGCATGAGAAACGATATGAGATGCTTGTTAATGTTCAGAAGATTTCCATATTAAACCACCAGCATGATCATCATCAACTCTACAATTACAGACATTATGAAACACAGATAAACAGATATCGAATCAAAGACGTGGTCATCACACCATCTGCGTGTTTGTGTGAGCAAATGTTCTGCTGCGTGAATGTGAATGTCTTCATTTACAAACACCGCATGAGTTCATCACATGACGTGAGTCTCTACAACACAAACACCAGCAGAAGACTAGCGGCTAACAGGAGCCAGCGCTAACAAAACATTCTTATAACCATATTCAAATATGATATATGCTCTCAGAAAACGTTTTTACAACAACATTCTCAAAATGTCCTTATGATGTTGTTTGTGCTCGATGAACATTCTAAACAACATCAAAGACGTGGTCATCACACCATCTGCGTGTTTGTGTGAGCAAATGTTCTGCTGCGTGAATGTGAATGTCTTCATTTACAAACACCGCATGAGTTCATCACATGACGTGAGTCTCTACAACACAAACACCAGCAGAAGACTAGCGGCTAACGGGAACCAGCGCTAACAAAACATTCTTATAACCATATTCAAATATGATATACGTTCTCAGAAAACGTTTTTACAACAACATTCTCAAAATGTCCTTATGATGTTGTTTGTACTCGATGAACATTCTAAACAACAGTTTTGTAACCTTTAAATAACATTCTAGTCATGTTCATAGAATATTAAAAATAAACATTCAAAAAATGTTACATTTTGGGTTAAAATAAAATTAATAGAACGTTTAAGAAACATTTTAGTAATCTTTAAATAACGCTATAATCACAACAACAAACCTAGAAATTTTAACGTTATTAGAATATTAAAAAATAAATGCTCAAGTAACATCATATTTTGGGTGAAAATGAAATTAATTAGTGGAACGTTTAAGAAACATTTTTGTAACCTTTAAATAACGTTCTAATCATGACAAGAAACTGGACATTTTACCATTCTTAGAATACTAAAAATAAATGTTCAAATAATGTTACATTTTGGGTGCAAATAAAGTTAGTACAATGTTGTACCAAAGAAAGTTTGGTAACACTTTATTTTAAGGTGTCCTTGTTACACGTTACATCTACATTTAAGGTTTCAAATACGTTTTTGTCATTCAGTGTAGCACGTATAGTTATGTAAAAATTCAAACAACATGCTTATTCTGACCTGTACATATTAAAATATATAAAAGAATAAGTGAGCATATTAAATTTGATTGGGTTTTAAATGAGTAAAAAATTCTTACTGACAAATGGGCAAAACCTAGGATAGTAGCAAATTAAAAAAATGTAAAATAACAACTAATTAGCATTTGGGGTAAAAGTAATAAGTTTTTTAATATGTCATAAATTGATTTTTGTTGTAAATATGCCTGACAAGATTGTTACACTGAATGACATTTTAGTGGGTGTCTTCTGTAAATCAGGGAAAAATGTATGATATTTATTTTTTGCTCAGAAAAACAAAAACAAAAATACAATCACATTAAACAGAAAACGTTTGAATTCAAATTTTTTTTTTTGGAAAAACAACAATTTAAAGCAGTATTGTTTTTATGCTCAATCCCTTTTTCGTCTTTGACCCATGTACTTACTATTATAATAACAATTAATTATGCATAATTACATGCAAGTAACCCTAATCCTAACCCTATAGTAAGTAGTTAATTAATATTACTCAGTACTTAAATGTATGATTACACTGTAACAAGGACACCTTAAAATAAAGTGTAAGCGAACGTGTTTGTAATCCTTAACTAACGTTCTAATCACACCAAGAAAAGAAAATTTGACATTCTTAGAATATTAAAAATAAACATTCAAATAATGTAATATTTTGGGTGAAAATAAAGTTAGTAGAACATTTAAGAAATGTTTTAACCTTTAAATAACGTTATAATTGCAACAAGAAAACTGGACATTTTAGCGTTTTCAAATATTAAAAATAAATGTTCAAATAACATTATATTTTGGGTGAAAACGGGAAAGTTTAGCGTTCTTAGAATATTAAAAATAAACACTGAAATAATGTTATATTTCGAGGTAAAAATAAAATGAGTAACACGTTTAAGAAACGTTTTTGTAACATTTAAATAACGTTATAATTGTGACAAGAAAACTGGACATTTTAGCGTTCTTAGACTATTAAAAATAAATGCTTAAATAACGTTTTTTTTTTTTGGTGAAAATAAAGTTAGTAGATACGTTTTTGTAACCTTTAAATAACGTTCTAATCGTGACTAGAAAACAATAAAGATAGTAGAACGTTGTAATGAAACATTTATTTGAAGACAACGTTCCCACAACGTTTTTAGAAGCTAAATGTGTTCCACTGCTGTTGGTTTACTCATGCATTCATCTCTTCTGGACTGAGATGCTTCACAAACGCGTTTATCACGAATCACGCTTGTTACCCAATCGTGTCTTCATCCATGACGTAAAAGGTGAGCGTATGGAAGCCCATCGGCAGATGAAGGGTGTATTCCTCGCCCCAGAACGGATTCAGGTTTCTCCAGACGGTGGCGGTTCTGGACGGGACACAGAAAAGATGTTTTACTGAACACTTTCCTGTGCTTCATGCGGCACGGAGCCAATTTGCGTACATTTAATACCTGCATTCGAGCCTGAATTAGAATCTGCCTAGATACAGAGAACAATTTAAAGGGCCATAAGTGACGAGGATGGAAAACAATCAATCAATTCACCCAATTTCTCAAAGGGAGGCCTGATCATTTCCATTTCAAAAGACACAACGCTTTTTAAATATGCACCACACCAGGTGTGCTGTTCATCTATCAACTATCACAATACAGCATCTGAAAGCAACACGACACGCAATGCACTGACTCTTTCACACACACATCATTTCTGGGGAGGGGGTTGTGATTAGTTAGTTGTTCTCCATGGTAACCAGCTGATGTTGTAAAGTGCATCATCACAGCATCAGTGTCAAACAATCAATAACCAATACAACACCACTTACTGATCAAGCCAATTAATCATCATGCATGCAATCAATAAATCAATGATTAATCAGGATGATTAATTGATCTTTCAAAACATGAACAAATGCAATAAATGACCTGCTTGTGTGTGCTTTCGTGAACATATAGCACATATAGCCATATAAATGACGACAAACCTTACGTCTACATCTATTTTTTTTTATTTGGACTAACTGACTACAAACTAACTGTAAAATATAACTTTTTGCATCTTTAGAATTACAGAAACATAATTACAAATCAGTTTTACAATCGAGGCCATCACCAAATGTGTTGCCAGATTTAGTTCACTTCTAGAGGCAATTTTCTGCCCAAAATATAACTAAACTGATTAATGTGGCTTCAAGATACTTGAAGCCACATTAGTGAGCTTTTATATTTAATTTGTTAGCACTATCAGCTCACACAAACCTGCTGACATCACTAGATTTAATATAACCCCTGATTTAGCCATTTTATGCGCCTTTCAATCAGTGAGGAACACTTGTTGCTTTTTCAGATTTATAAAAAAAAAAAATTACTTTATTAAAAAAAAACATTTTTACTTTATTTGAAAGTTTTGTTCGATTTGAACTATTTCACAATTACAACAAAAAAAATACTTTATTTTAAAAAACAATTTTACTTTATTTTAAAGTTTTGTGCGATTTAAGCTATTTCACAATTACAAAAAAAAATATTTACTTTATTTAAATAAAGGAACGTTTTGTCAGATTGTACCTATTTCACAATTACAAAAAAAGTATTACTTTACTTAAATTAAAAAAAAAAATTTTAAGGATAGTTTTGTCCGATTTGATCTATTTCAAAATTACAAATTTTATATATATTATTTACTTAATAAAAAAACTTTTTTTCTCTTTTTAAAGGAAAGTTTTGTCAGCTATTAATACTATTTACCTTAAAAAAAAAACATTTTTCTTTTTAAGGAAAGTTTTGTTAGATTTTATCTATTTCAGAATTATTAAAATATTATTTACTTTATTTAAAAACATTTTTTTTTTCTTTTTTTATTGAAAGTTTAGTCAGATTTGTATCTATTTCGGAATTATACAAAAATATTATTTACTTTATTTACAATTTTTTTTTTTTACATTTGAAGGAACATTTTGTTAGATTTGAGAGCCCGGTCTCATGAAAATGTGTATAAATAGTACGCCAAATAAAAACGAAAACTTGTGGTATTGATACGCAAAAATGGACTTTGGCGTGCATATAATACGCAGTTTTCGCGTGCATATGATACGCATCTACCCCACAACCCTAAACCTACCCATCGTGTAGCATATACACGCCAAAGTCCATTTTTGCATATCAATACCATGAGTTTTCGTTTTTATTTGGCGTACTATTTATACACACTTTCATGAGATCAGGTTGGACTTGATCTATTTCAGAATTCAGAATTGTGTTC